GTAGTATTTGTGAGAACCTCAAGAAGCATTTTGCTCCCCTTAAATTTTGCAGATCTTTAGTCAATAGCCTCATGGATTACTGTTTGCTCATTAGGATAAAAACAATTTATTTTAGGTTTGGATGAACAAACCTGGAAGTCCACTTTCAAGACTGAAGATAGAGTCAGCGTGGGTCTTCTCAACTGTGTTTCAATCCAGTATATGCATAAAATGCAAGATGATTGATACCTACTTTATTTATTTAGACTTTGAAAAAAGAAACTTTTCTACACATTATGAACATAATACAGCTCCTTATCTCTGATATCATACATTTCTGACACGTATTAAATCATTATTAGCTTACTTGTAATGATAAACTCTTAGATTTTTTATAGTTTTTTGAAAGTCTTTTCTAGTTATTTGCAAAGTAAGTGTTTGTTTCTATGTCTAAATAAATTAATAAATGAGTTTTGTTTCTATGGCTTTTATAATCTTCTGTACCTCTTTGTTGCCCCACAAATAAATAAATATGAGTTTCCTTCACAAGGGAATAATAGAAATGGAATCAATAGACAGCAACATTATATATATATATATATAATTAGTATAGCAATAAATAATATTTAAGTAGTTATAGTATCATTAGAATATGCAAGTCTTTTCTTGTGACACTATTTTGAGAACGTTTTGCACACTAACATAGGTTATATTCATATATTTGTTAAAACTAGATATAAATAATGGATACTACTATTATTACTATGTATAGTTGTGTTTCACTCTTTACTTTAAATTTTGAAGGAATTGTGAACAATGGATGCTCTGTAAACAATACTAAATGATTGTTAAATAATACCAAATGACAACCAAACAACATGAGTTAAGATATTATGACCTGCTATGACTTCTAAGAGAGAAAAATATATCTAATAAGAATGGGATAAAGGAATACCACATCAATCTTGTTTTCAAAGATCTTCATTATTCTTTGGAATTAAATATATTCTTCAAAGGTATTTACATTATAAAATATATGCCACCAGATAAGATTTTAAGAGTTGATTAGTATCATGAGGGCTTTAATTTCATCAAGAGATTTATCTATTTTTTATTCTTACTTGAATAGAGCATTAGAAGGTCACGTCTACTTAGGGGTAATAATTCACTAAAATGTGTGTTTATAGGCTGTATCTTTCCCTCAGACTGTTGTTCTTTGTAACTTTTTTAAAATCACAATTAATGGGATCACAGTATTATTTTGCTATATACCCTTTTGTGGTCTGAGTCACCATGCCTAGAACTAACAATATCAAGTTAGCATGAACTAAAAATCTCTGTACCTGTGACCCCAAATCAGTCCTTTAAGGGGTTTGTCTCAAAGTCACGTTCACGATTAACCAAAGTACCTGAAAATTCAGAAGAATAGGGAATAAAGTAAATTCTTGACGGTTTAGGCAAAGTACAATTCATATTAAGAAATCAAACCCATCAAAGAATAAGGCTAGAATACCCTGGACAAGGCAGCCTAGATTGTGACTAAAAGGAGCAGGTCTTTTGCATAGATACAGAGGCACTCCGAAGTGTCTGAGGGTTACTTTTAGCTCATTGAAACACTAAAGCATACTACTGCCTGGAGATTTAAAATGTTAATGAGAATTTAAATAGAATTTGTATTTAGAAGTACATATAACAGAGCATGGCCATAAAAGTCCTCACTATGAAAATGAGCCTGAAGTCTATGTTGCATGCACTTAATTCTCCTCGGCTTTCTGTGGTGGTACCATTGGGTTTCCTTCACTCTCTTCTGCTTCCTCCTTAGGAAGTGCACTTTTTCCTAAAATCTGTCATGCTTCTATTTTAACCACAGGTCTTTGAAACATTGTTTATTCCATGACACAGGAACCTGAAACAGCTTTGAAGTTTTCTACAGAACAGCACAATCTTAAAATACTAACCAAATCACAAGGAATAGAAGAAGTTAATTTTAAAAAAAGTCTGAGGAAAGCTGGAAACAGTAGAAGTGGTTTTTCCCAGAAAAAAGCACACCACTTCATTGGCCAGGGCCAAATACTCAGCCCTTAAAACATCATACAAGTAACAGTATATGGACTGAGCAGGCTATTGTTCTCAATGTATGTATATACTGGATACATATATACATGCAAAACATTGAGAAAGAAGGGGCCATGACAGTGAAGGAAAGAGGGGAGGGCTATGTGGAAGGAATTGAGGGAGGAAATGGAAGGAGGAAATGTTGTAATTATGTTATAGTCACAAAAATTAAAAAAAAATAAGAGTTTATTGTGAATGCTAGTACACAAAACAAGGACACTAATGGTTTTAGGTGCAAATTGGATAAGTATTATAACTATTATAAGGCTAAATATCAGGTCTAAGGGACAAAGCAATCATAATATACATTTAAAAGTAAGCAAAAACATATACTTTTAAGTATCAGAAGGTTGGACTACAGAGGGGATCGTATCAATCAACTTGTTAAGCCTTATCCATATTTTTTGTAGAGAACATTGCTATAGGGTATCCTGAGATTCTGTGTTATAAGACAGAAATCTTAGCTGTCTTTTCATTCACTCCTAACTCACTCGTGTCCTGAGATAATAATAAGCTGACAAGTTCACATACGTGTAGTGTGATTGCTTTTCTTCTTTGCGCCACACACTTAGCAGTTTCAACAATACAACATTCATTTTAATGCGTGGCCTTTGAGACACTACTCAAAAACACACACACAAAAAACTAAATACTGTGTCTTAAAGTATATCTTTCTAAAAATTCCAGAGCAATTATATAGAGAAAACATGGTAAATTATTTTCTAAAACTGGTCCCAATAATTAGCAACATTGTTGTTCAGTAACATTTTGTAACTGTTCTTCAGCGAAATGATTTCCTATAGATTAATAGAAATTCTTCACTGATTAGAATAAAACTGCTGCTCCTACATGATTAATGCTTTAAAACTCATGAACTCTAGACAGCTCTCGAGCCTCCAGGGGACTGAACTAAACCCTCCATATGTGGGAGACAGTGGTGAAGCTTGGACCATCTGAGGGGCCCCTGGCAGTAAAACCAGGATCTATCCCTGGTGCAAGAGCTAGCTTGTTTGAGCCCATTCCCTATGGTGGGATGCCATGCTCAGTCTTAATGCAAGGGGGAAAGACTTGGTCATGCCCTAACTTAATGTGTCAGACTTTGTTGATTTCCCAGGAAAGCCCTTATCCCTTAGGAGAAGTGGATGGGAGATGTGCTGACGAGGTGGGAGGTGGGAGGAGGGAGTGTGGGAGAACTATACTTGGGCTTTAAAATAAAGAAAGCAATAAATACAAAGAAAAACTATACTGCATGGCACTAGTTTGCATTAGTTGTAAATTTCTGATCTCCATTGCCCTGAAAGTAACCAGGCAGTACAATGAAAAGCCAGGATTGTTACAGTAAAGTTAATGATGCATTTGAGAAACCTGTTCTAGCTTTCCAATGAGTAAAAAGCAAGAAGAAAAACTGTGCTATAAAGAACAATTTAAAGAAAGAAGGATTATTGAAGGAAGTACACTCCATGATTGTTAAAACAGTTCTCGAGAACAAACTTTGGAAAATAAATGGGACCCAAAATACACAATTATATACTGAATACTTTTCATCCCATTCGTGACTGGGACACCACCTTCCATAAAATTTCCATGACTTCAACTGTGTGTGCACTGTATGTCTCCAATTAAATGTGAGAGCAAAGCATTTATTACAGTGATTTTCTCAGAATACCAACTCTTCTATTAAAGCATTTGTGGGAAAAGGTAGGAAGAATTTAGTGCACAATGCATTATCCCCTGCTCCCAACTTTTTACCTGAAGGAATCTAGGATCATTGAGAATATCAAAGCATCTTAAAATTTCTGTTTGATCATCATTCATTGAAACCTAGAATTATACTATTGCACAGACCTTTAAGAAATAAGTTTATACCTTGGGGGGAGAAAAGACATTCTTTATAAGAAATGGTGCCGAGGCTGGACATCCACACAAAAAGTAAAGAGGATGATATAACAAATGTAGTCAGGAACATTACATCTTTCAAAAGAGTTATCTGAAAATGGAGCTTAGACCCAACTTGTAGGTGTGAATCTCATAAACTCTCTAGCAAGTAACAAAGGCTATATTCTAGGTGACCTTGAATGTAGCCACAGCTTTTTAGAAGCAGCTCTAAAGGAATGATCTGTGAAAAAAAAATAGTTGATAAGCTATGCTCTATTAAACTTTAAAACATTTTCTGCCAAATAAATTGTCCAGAAAATTAAAAGAAGAGCCTAGACTAGAAACACTATTTGCAAAAGATGTGTCTGATAAAGGAATATCATCTGAAATACACAAAAGTTTCTTAGACTCAATGGTAAGAACAAAATATAATTACAAATAAAAGTCTCAAAGAACTAAAGTTATCTCAGCAAAGTGGATATGCAGTTAACAAACAAGCTTATGAAAGGTTGTTCCAAGTGACATGCTACTAGAGAAATGAAAAAAGAAATGACCATAAAATACAGCTAGCTTGAACATTCCATAATATAAACAACAGCAAATGCTAGGCAGGATGGAATCACTGAGAACACCAAATACTCCTAGTTTGCTAATAAGCCACAGGGGCAATGAATTTGAAATGGCAGCACCTTATCAGAAGGTGTTTTGTATTTTTCCTACAAAACTGAGCAGTATTACACTATAAGAGATGGAGCAGCGCTCACACTACACTGTTTACTGTTTATTTAAGCTCATGTTTATTTGAGGGAATGCATGCCACTCAGCAAATAATCTTCGCTCAAGCCGTTCTTATGATTTTACTAAAAATTGCAAAAAAAACTTAGAGGCTGAGACATACTTTTGTAATGGCTAAATAAACAAACTATGTCATATCTAAATAATAAAGCAGTTATTAGTTAAAAGAAACAAGTCACGAGGTAAAGAAGCAGAGGAGAGAGGCAGGGAGGGGAGCAGAGAAAAATGTAGGGCTCAATAAAATTCAATAAAAAATGAAGCAACATAGAAAAAATTTAAATGCATATTACTAAAGGAAAAAATAAAAAGACTGCAGTATGGTATGATTTAATGCATGTGACATTTGGAAGAGACAATGATATAAAAATATAAAACATGCAACATCTGGACTTGGGGTGAGGCAGAGATCACCCTGAAATTCAGTCGTGTTGCTGATTCCATGAAGAATCTTCATAAAGGGATTCAGAGTGTCCAGGTCACCTACTTATGCCTCCAGAAGACTGGGTCCTCGTCTATCACCGTTTGTAATGGTTAGGTTTTCTCAACTGGCACAAACTCGAGACACCTGGGAAGAGAGAAACTCAGTTGAGGAATTGTCTCCATCAGATGGGCCTGTGAGGGCCTGTGAGGCAGTCTCTTGACCTCTAATTGATGCGGGCTGTTGCTGTAGGCCTGGGCTACATGAGAAAGGTAGCCGAGCAAGCCAGTAAACACATCTTCTAATTGATGCGGGCTGTTGCTGTAGGCCTGGGCTACATGAGAAAGGTAGCCGAGCAAGCCAGTAAACACATCTTTCCATGTTCTCTGCTTCAGTTCCTAGCTCCTGCCCTGAGCTCCCCTCTGTGATGTAGAGTCCGCTGGGTGTTGTAAACTGAAATAAACCCCTTCCCCATCCCCCCCCATATATATAACATGTTTATGTGAATTTTTACCAGGAGCAAGCAGAATACAAAAGTAAATATGGCTTAAAGAACTGTTAAATAATGCAATACTATGCAAAACATTTTAATGATGAACACATCATTATACATTTATTAAAATCAATAGGATAGATAAGAACCACAGCTATAAAGTCATCCATGATAGTTATGTCTCAATGGAAGTTCATAAATAATTTGAAAAATACAGTACTCTAGTATGAATCCCCCTCTCTTTCTTTCCTTCCTTCCTCTCTCTCTCTCTCTCTCTCTCTCTCTCTCTCTCTCTCTCTCTCTCTCTCTGCATGTGCATATATTAGCTATTTGGGAATCCTGTAATTTTAATTTGATTTTTATGTGAACAAAACTCTCTTTTAGAAAATGAGACAGAGTCCCACACTGGAGCACCGGACTGAAATCCCAAGGTCCAAATCAGGAGCAGAAGTAGACAGAGCACGAGCAAGGAACTCAGGACCGCGAGGGGTGCACCCACACACTGAGACAATGGGGATGTTCTATCGGGAACTCACCAAGGCCAGCTGGTCTTGGTCTGAAAAAGCATGGGATAAAACCGGACTCGCTGAACATAGTGGACAACTAGGACTGCTGAGAAGTCAAGAACAATGCTCCGGATCTTTAAAGTCTGCGGAAGTGGCAGACTGTTTCCAAGGAGCTGCTTGAGTTGCTATTCACAACNGGATGGAGGTGGGTGGTCCTTAGACTTCCCACGGGCAGGGAACTCTGATTGCTCTTTGGGCTGATGAGGGAGGGGGAGTTGACTGGGGGAGGGGGAGGAAAATGGGAGGCAGTGGCGGGGAGGAGGCAGAAATCTTTAATAAATAAATTTTAAAAAAAAGAAAATGAAATACCATCAAGTAAACCTAAAGCTTGTGAATAAGTGTTCCAGAATAATGCTTTTTCCATTGGGTTCCTCAGCACTAGTCATGACCATCTGACTGATAATACTCTGTGCCAACCTGGGGTATCCTTCCACATCATGGCCTGCAACATGAAATTTTTCTTTTGTTGATTTTTGCTCTTAGATTGAAACCTGAAAGTTATGAAATGTACAAAGTTTCTTGAATAATGTAATAAGATTCAGTAAGAAGAGATACCATAAAGGAAGTGCATTCTTATTCTGGTGCAAGAGAAGAAATGGTAATAATTCTGTGTCTTAACTGATAATGAGCATGCTGTAGAATAATCCATCTGTGCACTGTAAGGATATGTTGCTCTCATTGTTAAAAAAAAAAAAGCTGATTGGCCAATAGCTAGTTAAATTTTTCAGGGCAGAGAGAAAGCTGGGAGAAGGGCAGAGTCAGAGGAGTCTTAAGCTAGACATAGAAGAAGCAGCAGAGAAAATTCACATATGAGGTAAATAAGCACTGAGGCAGCACATAGATTAATAGAAATGGGTTATTCAAGTGGTAAGAGCTGGCTGCAGACATACCTAAGCTATTGGCCAAGCATTTGTAATTAATATTACATCTCTGTGTGGATATTTGGGGAATGTCTGGCAGGACAGAGTTGATGGGTGGTTTAGACTATGCAGAATTTCTCCTGATGGATTATATAATATAAAAAGATATGTTACATATAATTGTATAGAAAAATTATAGAGACGTTAGCTGTGTCATATGGTAATATGTTTGTTTTAAAGACAACGTTCACAAAGAAAACCAAAATTGGGAAACCTATTTGCTGAATTTTGTATAAGATTTGAATAAAGAAAATTTTGTAGGTTGTCTTATATATACTATGTATGGTATATGATGTATAATCTTCTGTGCATATAAATTGATATTACATACAGTCTAACAAGTAAAGTTTATTTGACATGTGAATACACAATATGAATAGTCTGTCATATATGGGCATATGAATGCATGTTACACATAGTTTATTATTTATCATCAAATTTGCACATAAATTTCTTAGTGTTCTTTTAGTGCCCTTATGGGAACATTATATGAAAACAATTGTTTGCAATTAAAATGCTAGCAAATGCTAAGATGGCACTAGATATTAAAGAATATACTGAATACAGAATAAAGTGTATCAACAGGCTCAGTGTTATGTTAACATCATCTTCACCATAATTTCTGAGAATCGGCCAGCTCTTTGGCAACTTCACTGGAGCCTGATTGTGAACTGATTTTTCCAGACACCTACTGCTCCCATACAGTGTGTCTAAGACCTAGTTGACGACAAATGAAGAAACTGTAGCCAGAATATGTTCATATAAAGGATCTGTTTTTGCTGGTTCACTCAGTATCCAGGTACTTGTCTGCTGTCCCATGTTCAGAGACTCCAAAGTACCAACTCTCAATACAACAAAGACAATTTTCTATCACAGTTTCCCTCCATTTGTAGGAATATGGCCTTAACTTACTCATCTTATGAAAAATAGTAACCAAAAGTTAGGCTTTATAAACCCATTTTCAATAATTTTATGTGTTCTATTTTTTGAGCACCTACTAACTGCCAGAGGTTGTAATCATTAGCAAAGCTGACAAGGCCCTGCCACCTAGTGGGAAGACAAATAACAAACTGATAAAGTATAAATTTGCATACTACTAAAGGCTAAGACTTTATGATGCAGCTTGCTGCGTGGAAGCTTCCAATGATACTGAAGAAAATCAATTCTTTTCTTTCGTAGAGATACTTGAATATTAAGTGTTCCATAAATGTTTTATCAAGAATACTTTATTAGTCCACTTAGCTATCATTGACAAAATGATATTGTTAAAAGAATAAGAATTGAATCTGGCTTGCTGAGAGATGTTTATCTAAACATGTGGCAATGTTTTTGAAGTAGACATTTTCTTTAAAAGAAGACAGAAGTAATATTTTAGTAAAGAAATAAACCAAATCTTTATTTTTATTTTATGACACATCTAATAGATGTATTATTATTCTTTTTGAAAGAATAAGCCAAACATTTACAGTTAGAATTTGTATCTAAATGTTACAAGGCTAAAATATTAATGCTTTTAATGAACACTTGAGTAAGACCCAAATTTCAATGCAACATTTGAAAATATATTTACTATCCAATATAAATTTAAAACAAATAATATTTGTATGACTAATATTAAGACTAAATACTATTTTTTAACTTGAATAATGAACTAAATACATTGCAGTTAATCACTTCTGTCCAGTTTTTTTACAAGTTTAAATACTAGTGTCTGAATATATTCCCTTTAAAAAATTTGAAAATTTTCAGTCTTAGTAAGTTTTCTTGTCTTGTTCACATGTTAGATTCATTCATTTTATTCTGCCATAGAAAATCCTTTATGTACCACATATATAAATATTTATTTGACTGAAAATGGCAATCTCCTAAAAGGCATTAAAATAAATTCCCCAGACTAATTTTTAGTGATCAGCATTTTAATCGGTACTCTATCTGGAAATGCGCTCTCCATGCTGGCCAGGCATACCAGTCAGAATTTAGAAACAAATTAGATGTCTATGAATGAAAGAATGGATAAAAATGTAGTATATTTACATAATGGAATAATACTCAGCTGATTAAAAAAGTAAAATCATGAAATTTACAGGTAAATGGATGAACCTAGAAAAAAAATCCCAAGTGAGGTGTTGAAAAGAGCTACTTGTTCATCCTGGCTGCCCAGAACTGAAATAATCACACAGAAACTGCATTAATTAAATCACTGCTTGGCCCATTAGCTAGCTCTAGCTTCTTATTGGCCAACTCTTACATCTTAGTTTATCCTATCTCCATTAATCTCTGCATCACTACGAGGTCATGGCTTATGAGCAAAGTTTCAGAGTATCTGCCTCCAGCAGTGGCTTCATGGCTTCTTCTTAGATCTACCTCCTTTCTCCCAGCATTCAGTTTAGTTTTCCCCACCTACCAAAGTTCTGCCCTATCAACAGGCCAAGGCAGTTTCTTTATTCAGCAATGGTATTCACAGCATACAGAGGAAAAAAATCCCACATCACACCTCTTTTCTGTTAAATAAAACTAAGGCTTTATGTTTAACATAGTAAAATTACATATAACAAAACAGGTATCAAGTAAGAATTATAGTTACAATATTTATATCTATGTTATCTCTTANAAATAATAATAATAAATTTAAAAAAATTTAAAAATTTTTAAAAATAAGTATAAAAAAAAGATTATTAACAAATGTTAGAAAATGTAACATGAGTCTACGCTTTATAATTCTAAAATAACCTACCATTCATATCAAAATCTGGATGGTTTACATTACAAAAAAAAGAATAAGTTTACCAAGTTTGTATTTTATTGTGCTTCCAAAACATTTTCCCAGTTGGGATCTGTACTTCTGACTTTTAGAATAGAAGTAGCACAACTTGATCAGTAATAGAAAGTCTGCAGGATTTATTCCATTATGTCTGTTTTCTTGGTGTGCTCAATTGCTTAAACAACCCAAAAGCAGAAGTTGTCACGGAATCTATCATTCCTCTTCTGTCCAGCAAGGATTCATTTCCTCATCCTCAATAAACATTTTATTTACTCAATGACTTGGAACATGGGCAAAGCATTAATAGAGATGCAGCATCAATAAAAAATAAATTTGTCAATGTTATGTAGCAGGACTGCCAGCTTTGAAGTGAACAAAGACAAGTGTTTTTCTGGCCGCTTTCCATG